TGGGCATTTAGTCATTTTCTCTACCACTGTTCAACCGGTGGATGGGCATTTAGTCATTTTTCTCTACCACTGTTCAACCGGTGGATGGGCATTTAGTCATTTTTCTCTACCACTGTTCAACCGGTGGCTGGGCATTTAGTCATTTTTTCTCACCACTGTTCAACCGGTGGATGGGCATTTAGTCATTTTCTCTACCACTGTTCAACCGGTGGATGGGCATTTAGTCATTTTTTTCTCTACCACTGTTCAACCGGTGGATGGGCATTTAGTTCATTTTTTAGTCTTTTTCTCTACCACTGTTCAACCGGTGGATGGGCATTTAGTTTTTCTCTACCACTGTTCAACCGGGATGGATGGGCATTTAAATCATTTTTTTCTCTACCACTGTTCAACCGGTGGATGGGCATTTAGTCATTTTTCTCTACCACTGTTCAACCGGTGGATGGGCATTTAGTCATTTTTCTCTACCACTGTTCAACCGGTGGGCTGGGCATTAAGTCATTTTTCTCTACCACTGTTCAACCGGTGGATGGGCATTTGTCATTTTTCTCTACCACTGTTCAACCGGTGGATGGGCATTTAGTCATTTTCTCTACCACTGTTCAACCGGTGGATGGGCATTTAGTTTTTTCTCTACCACTGTTCAACCGGTGGATGGGCATTTAGTCATTTTTCTCTACCACTGTTCAACCGGTGGATGGGCATTTAGTCATTTTTCTCTACCACTGTTCAACCGGTGGATGGGCATTTAGTCATTTTTCTCTACCACTGTTCAACCGGTGGATGGGCATTTAGTCATTTTTCTCTACCACTGTTCAACCGGTGGATGGGCATTTAGTCATTTTCTCTACCACTGTTCAACCGGTGGGCTGGGCATTTAGTCATTTTCTCTTTAGTCACCACTGTTCAACCGGTGGATGGGCATTTAGTCATTTTTCTCTACCACTGTTCAACCGGTGGATGGGCATTTAGTCATTTTTCTCTACTGTTCAACCGGTGGATGGGCATTTATTCATTTTCTCTACCACTTTCAACCGGTGGATGGGCATTTACCATTTTTTCTCTACCACTGTTCAACCGGTGGATGGGCATTTAGTCATTTTCTCTACCACTGTTCAACCGGTGGATGGGCATTTAGTCATTTTTCTCTACCACTGTTCAACCGGTGGATGGGCATTTAGTCATTTTCTCTACCACTGTTCAACCGGTGGATGGGCATTTAGTCATTTTTCTCTACCACTGTTCAACCGGTGGATGGGCATTTAGTCATTTTTCTCTACCACTGTTCAACCGGTGGATGGGCATTTAGTCATTTTCTCTACCACTGTTCAACCGGTGGATGGGCATTTAGTCATTTTTCTCTACCACTGTTCAACCGGTGGATGGGCATTTAGTCATTTTTCTCTACCACTGTTCAACCGGTGGATGGGCATTTCAGTCATTTTTTTTCTCTACCACTGTTCAACCGGTGGATGGGCATTTAGTCATTTTTCTCTACCACTGTTCAACCGGTGGATGGGCATTTAGTCATTTTCTCTACCACTGTTCAACCGGTGGATGGGCATTTAGTCATTTTTCTACCACTGTTCAACCGGTGGATGGGCATTTAGTCATTTTTCTCTACCACTGTTCAACCGGTGGATGGGCATTTTTAGTCATTTTTCTCTACCACTGTTCAACCGGTGGATGGGCATTTAGTCATTTTTCTCTACCACTGTTCAACCGGTGGATGGGCATTAAGTCATTTTTCTCTACCACTGTTCAACCGGTGGATTTGGATGGGCATTTAGTCATTTTCTCTACCACTGTTCAACCGGTGGATGGGCATTTAGTCATTTTTCTCTACCACTGTTCAACCGGTGGATGGGCATTTAGTCATTTTCTCTACCACTGTTCAACCGGTGGATGGGCATTTAGTCATTTTTCTCTACCACTGTTCAACCGGTGGATGGGCATTTAGTCATTTTCTCTACCACTGTTCAACCGGTGGATGGATTAAGTCATTTTTTCTGCAACCACTGCATTTAGTCATTTTTCTCTACCACTGTTCAACCGGTGGATGGGCATTTAGTCATTTTTCTCTACCACTGTTCAACCGGTGGATGGGCATTTAGTCATTTTTCTCTACCACTGTTCAACCGGTGGATGGGCATTTAGTCATTTTTTCTACCACTGTTCAACCGGTGGATGGGCATTTAGTCATTTTCTCTACCACTGTTCAACCGGTGGATGGGCATTTAGTCATTTTCTCTACCACTGTTCAACCGGTGGATGGGCATTTAGTCATTTTTCTCTACCACTGTTCAACCGGTGGATGGGCATTTAGGATTTTTCTCTACCACTGTTCAACCGGTGGATGGGCATTTAGTCATTTTCTCTACCACTGTTCAACCGGTGGATGGGCATTTAGTCATTTTTCTCTACCACTGTTCAACCGGTGGATGGGCATTTAGTCATTTTTCTCTACCACTGTTCAACCGGGATGGATGGGTTCATGGGCATTTAGTCATTTTTCTCTACCACTGTTCAACCGGTGGATGGGCATTTACCACTGTTCATTTTTCTCTACCACTGTTCAACCGGTGGATGGGCATTTAGTCATTTATCTCTACCACTGTTCAACCGGTGGATGGGCATTTAGTCATTTTTCTCTACCACTGTTCAACCGGCGGATGGGCATTTAGTCATTTTTCTCTACCACTGTTCAACCGGCGGATGGGCATTTAGTCATTTTTCTCTACCACTGTTCAACCGGCGGATGGGCATTTAGTCATTTTTCTCTACCACTGTTCAACCGGCGGATGGGCATTTCATTTTTCTCTACCACTTTTTTCGCGGCGGATGGGCATTTATCATTTTCTCTACCACTGTTCAACCGGTGGATGGGCATTTTAGTCATTTTTTTCATTTTCAACCGGCGGATTTTTTTTTTTCTGTTCAAACGGTGGTGGGAACTCATTTTCTCTAAGACGAAAGTGTCTACTGGAAGGGAAAGAAAATGAGAAGACTTTAGAAGGAACAGGAAAACCAATGTAAACAAGAAACAAGAGATGAATTCTTTCTACCGTCTTTCAATGAATTATATCGTTTTTTCTTTTCTTTTGTTTTTAGATAAACAGATTTTGAGTTGTAATAGTGTAGTGAAAATATAATCACTCGCCTTGAAAAAGAGTTCGTGTTTTGTGTGCGATGTGCCGAAGAAAAAATGGTCGAATTTATTTATTATTCCTAGTTAATCCCAATCACAACCCATTCATCCAGTACAATTGATCCATTCACCAAAAGAACTTATCCATCACCATTCAAATTTACATATACCACAATACCACATATTCACGGGGTGGGGGGCTAGAGAAAAAAACCCATGATATACAAATCTCAAAAAAATGACCGAAGATATTTATTAAATGGATATAGTACAATAATTTTGGCACATGGCCGAAGGGGAAGTGGGTTGAAGGCTGGTCGTCACTAACTATCCCAGTCCTAGTTAATCACAATCACGATCCATTCATCCAGTGCAATTGATCCAACAAATCAAAAGAACTCATCCCTCGCCATTCAGTCCTACATGTACCACAATACCACATATTCACAGGGGGACCTACAAAAACACCTCATGATATAAAAATTTACCATGATTAGATACAAAAATAAATAAAAATTCCATGAAACATGAAATGATGGGGGAGGGAACGAACCCAATAAACTAACCAAAAAATAAAACCAAAACAACTAAAAACAGATGTTAGTGAGACCCGTCCATACCTCAAAATAACCAGAGTGGCCGCTGTATTCTGTCGGTAGACAGAATCAAGCCGCGCACTCACTAATGGAGTGGGGAAGGTGAAATAAACAGTAGAGCGGGAAAATCCAAAGTCTGACCCAGTTGGAAAAAAAAAAAGAAATTGGACCAAAAACAAACTGGGGAGGTTGCGAAACTCAACCTGGATCATAACAAAAGAGAATGCCGTGAACAACACTTACTCACACTAACTAGGAAAACATAAAACAGTCTAACTTAACCAGGGGAGGGTTCACAGGAAAAAAAAATGACCGAAATTAGTTAGCAAAACTCTGCTACTTCAAGTATAAGAATCGATGCTAATGTTCTTTCCTCCCCTGAATGGTGTGGCCATTCAGAAAAAAATCGCTCGGTAAATAAAAGCCGTTGTTTTTCGCTTACGAAGGGAGAATTTTTCTGGTCGTGGTGAACGAGCATGCGGTGTTTTTCCTGGTCAGAAGTGAAGGTTAGATTTGTAACCCCATTTTGTCGTTTCTACGTTACCTATTGGTCTGTTACAACGGATTATTGTTTGAAGTGTGATTTGGCTGTACGAGAGACAGAAGAAACCTTTTGCAGGCGTTTATTGCTACTATAAGTCTACAGTTTTTCTTTCTTTTCTTTACTACAACAAACAGTTACTTGTAAATTGGTCAAATAAAAAAAAATGCTTGGAAGTCATCTTTTCTTTATCCGTATTTCTCTTCTGTTCTTTTCCTATCCGCCATTTCTGTTTTCACACGTAACGGCTCGAGTCAGACACTATTCAAATAGATTTTATTTCAAACATTTCATTCGAATAGTAACTTGGATTTCACAATGACAATCGAAAACAAAAGAAAGATTTATGCTGAATCTTGAGCACCTGAGACCTACTCGTCGCCTTCATTCCTAGGATTTGTGTCCCCACAGAAAAGAAAAATGATATCAATCGATTGTTCTGACTCTTGGTGCATAGAAAGTGGCACCTGCTATTTTCTACGCTCTTTTAGTAAGCACTGATCTGGCTTGTGTCCAAACTTATTATCCTAATTCCAACATTTTTCTACTTATCACCTGTACAATTTTCTCTCTTTATTTTTTTTTCTTTACATCTTCTCTTTCAATCCCGCAGGTTGAAAGACCTTTCTTTTTCTTTTTCTTTTTCTTTTTCTTTTTCTTTGTCATTTTCTTTTTCTTTTTCTTTTTCTTTTTTTACACCCCTCATTTTTGTTCTATGTTTCTACTTCTTTTCTCCTTCTACGAAACTTTCGAGTATTCTCTTTATTCTTATCTCTCTCTCTCTCTCTCTCTCTCTCTCTCTCTCTCATACATAATTTTCGAGAATTCCCTTTTCCTTTACTCCTCCTCTTCTTCCATTTTCCTCTCATACCTTTTATTTTCATTTTATGTTATTCTCTTTTTCCCTACCTACTTCTCTCTTATTTTTTCTTTTTTTGTTTTGTATCTATTATCATTTTTACAATCCTTTCTCATATTTACTTTAAATTTGCTAGTGCCCTTGCGTTCCCAAGCGTTTGACCTTGTGCCTGACAAATTTAATCTTAACAAAGAAGTTCGCTACCTCGTTTCCTTTTCTTACAACCAATCTTACTCCCCATGGTGAAATTTGTCATTAATTCGTCTGTGCTTCCACATCTGCTTAACCACGCGACAATAGCGTCGTCGATTCTCAACGGGTTTCTCATCGGCAGAGAGACGCGAGCAATTGCGCATGCGCATAGAGTGGCGGAAACACTGAGAAATGAAACGTACAAGAGAACTAAAACTGAAAGAAAATAGACGATATATTGAAGATGGGATGGAGGAAGTAATTAATGAGAAACGGTAAAATTGAGAGTGGTTATTATCAGAGAGAACTGACTGCTGCTCAACATGGTAAAAATTAAAAATATGTTGAATTTGAATGAGAAGCAAAATAAGGGAACAAAACTCAGGAAGTAGATACTGAATGAATATATATATATATATATATATATATATATATATATATATATATATATATTTTTTAGCAGCATTCAAAGAGTATGTCTCACTGGATTGTATTGAAAAGTAAGTACACAAAACTTGTTTAAATTATTCACTGAGACAAATATATATATATATATATATATATATATATATATATATATATATATATATATATTTATATGTGAAATATATTTTTATGTGTGCTATATTTAATAAAGTGCTCAATATCAGAGAAAGCGTATGTAAATATAAATATAAAGTGACCATTATATATATATATATATATATATATATATATATATATATATATATGTAAGCAAATATATGGATATAGATCCGACATTATGAAGAAAAATATACTGAAAAAACAAACAAAAATCCTAATATGCGATTATGCTTGTTTAATGTCAACGTCGGACGTTTCGGTCTAATAGACCATCTTCAGGACATATTCATAAAACATAATTAACATAGACCATATATAATACAACATGAAAAAAACGATGGACATAAAAGCAATACCAATCCAAACAGATAACTGAAATCTTTTATAAGATCAGCGTTCCGTTTAAATATGATCACGTCGTCGTCACGTGGGCGATGTGGGGAAAACGTATTCCTAAAATTTGAGTATTTTGAATGAAAAACGAAAAGAATTTTATTTTGATCTAAAACATATATGTACGTTTGTCGAGCATTAATTTTACTAGAAAAGGGGAAATATTAAAGAAGCCAGGTCTAGTGTTCACCGTGTGTGAGATAGACCGAAACGTCCGACGTTGACATTAAACATTAAAACAGCATAATAGCATATTAGGATTTTTGTTTGTTTTTTTATTATATATTTTTATATATATATATATATATATATATATATATATATATATATATATATATATATATATATATATATATATATGGTGTATATATGAATGAATTCCAATAACAAACAATTACTATTCTTAAAAGGGTGCTCAATACAAAGTAGTGTCTTATCAAGTAATTAAGACACCGGGTGTAAGTTGAAACTAAATGGCTATTTTTGTAGTGATTTTATAACATATTTCTGTTATAAATTTTTTTAAATAAATATATTATATATATATATATATATATATATATATATATATATATATATATAAGGAGAACTGTGCTTAAGATGATATTGCTAAGTTGTTTATTTTAATTCAGTGGAATCGTGTTAAATAAAAACATGCCTAATCATGTTGTTCTGAATAATCAAGAGTGGTCTCCCCTTGTTTTGTTACACTCTTCTTTCACACGGCTATTTCTGTTTACTTTGACGATAAAAGGACATTGTTCGCAAACCTTGTATTCACAGTTGAATCAAGCTTTCTGAAATCTTACACCTGCGTATTTTTGTCATTACACAAGTATAAATAGATTTCTTATATTCCTTCTGCAATGCTAATAAATTCCCCATCTCAGAAATATAGACAGATACTGAAAACTCGAAACGTTGTAATAAATATGGTGACAAAGATGAGAACAATAGCCGAATAATGTAAATAGTGTACATAATACCTCATCTCAGAAATACAGACAGATACTATTGGGCCGAAACTTTGTAATAAATATGGTGACAAACATGAGGACAATAGTCCGAATGATGTAAATGATGTACATAATACCTCATCTCAGAAATATGGGAGATTGCCGAAACTAAAAATATGCCGACAAACATTGTCCAAATGAAATATGTACATAATTCCTCATCTCAAAATATGGGCAGACAAATAGTCCGAATGAATTTAAAAACATGATGACAATAGTCCGAATGATGTAAAATGATCATAATCATCTCAGAAATATGGGCAGATACTAAATTGCCGAAACTGCCAAACATGAAAATACCTTGTCTCAGAAATATGGGCAGACAAAAATGAGGACAAATAAATGTCCAAATGATGTAAATGATGTACATAATACCTCATCTCAGAAATATAGACAGATATCTCAAATAGATTTTGCTTAAAGAATCAGATATGCTATCGAAAGAAGTAAAAAAAAAAACATTTTTGAGATGCAAGTTGCAGGCATCGTTTGTATGATTGTAACAAACACCTGTGATAAATTTCAGGCCATTTCATGTCCACTTTTCTTGTAGCATCGCGATCGACTTTGTTAACTTTTACTGGACACCAAGAAAATAGGTGTCCTTTATTGCTTACGAGGATAATAAGAAATTGTTCATAGGTGACATCAATTTGATTCCAATATTATTTAAGAGTTACATCATTTTAAAATATTACAAGTTAATAGTGAAATCTTTTTGTGCGGAACCTGGGAATCATTTTTCAAGACAATAAACTTCGCCTAATGTATTCATCTCTTTCTAAAACTACGCCTGTCAAATAGCATATTATGCTACTTAAAAAGCGTAGTTTTAGTTATTTTTTTTTTCAAGTGGTAACCAACCTGCGATTTAAGAAGCGTATGACATGTTTTTAATAACGTCGTCCTAAACAAAGCAATAATTACACTAAGACGCAAGGAGTTACTGAGTGCTGGAGAATATGAAAAAAATTATATTACGTAGAGGAGACAATAAAAGAACAAAAATTAAGAAGACAAAAGACAACGATTAACACTGGATTTAAACTTTTGAAGATCAAATTTAAAAAGTAATCAGAAAGCGAAAAAAATTATTAATCTAAAACTTCCGGTTACATCACGTCATTTCAGCTGTAAAATGATGAGACCTTGCCGCCTATCCGCTTACATTTATACAATCTACGGACGTGGAGGAAAGTAATATTTCTTTTGAAAATAAAAAATGTGGCACAAGGCCAAAATCGGAGATAGGGTAAAACTGGTCTTCAGTCTATCTTTGACCCAAACATACCACAGTATTCCTTGCACCAAAAGAACACATTCCTACATACAATTCTTACGACAGCCACCATAATACCCCAAAGTCTCTATGAAGTCCTAAATAGTTCCCTTGTGTTCAATTTGTCTTTTGGAGTGGGGACTATAAATCCCCTAGAGAAAAGTACATCACAACAATTGCTATGAAAGAAAGACGCAGGGAAGCTACGTTGAAAATTCGATGAAACCGAGATGTCAGGTCAAGAGTAATAACATTGCAGATTCTTCTGTCGATTTCATTAGAAATCTCTAAATATACATCAGGAGCACCACGCAAATATGACAGCAAAGACTGGACGAATGGTAGATTATAAATATGTAATATTGATAAATTTAGGAGAGAAATATTGTCTCGCTCAACATAATAAACCAACTTTCCTAGCTGCAGATTTAACAATATAATTTTTGCTCTTCATATCTGCAGAAAATATTCGTCCGAGGAGGCGCAATGAGTCACTCTCCTGCAAGTTAGCATCAGCCATGATGATAAAAATTAAAAAAGAGTTCTCTCTGGGGATTAAAAGAGAGCCTTTTTGTTTGGTAGCGTTATAATTAAGCCATTTCTTGCCCCATTTAACAACAGACTGTAGATCATTTTCGAGATGAACTGCCAATTTGATCTTATCGAAACGATCAAACTACTATTAAAACCCGTGTAAATAGATGTGTAATCGCATATACCGAGTTGAGAACTGTTGACCTTTATGAAAATTACGAACAACATAGCAAAAGCACAGGACCATATGTGACAGCAATATTCAAAGCAAGGATGAATGGTAGACTTATAAATATGTAAGACAGTGGAGGTACTGTAACTTGAAAGACTGGGCCTGAAACTCAACAGTGAAGATAAAACTCATTATTTAGGCTCCTAATCAAAGTAGTTTGCAATAACCCCTACACTGCAGATGGTACTAAATAAGAAACCTTGAAGATAACAAAAACAATAAACAAAAGAAACCCAAGCCTAAGGCACCAAAGAAAAAGACAAAAGTACAAACCATAAATGAACTTATCTTAACATAAGATAAAAAAATAAACTAGGAATTTCCAGTAGAAATTTATAACTTAGAATAAGGCTGGGATCCAATAAAGAATCTCTAAATATATAGCAATATCACTAGACCAGATATGGCACCAATATTCAAAGAATGCACGAATTGTGGACTTATAAATATGTAAGATAGATTCCCGCAATAAAAACTGTCTAGCTTGACATAGTGAGCTAACTTTACTATCTGCAGACTTAGCAATTGATTCAATATCCTCTTTCCACTTTATATCAGTGGAAAACATTAGACCAAGAAAGCACAATGAGTAACTCTCGTGGAGGTTAGCATCAGCCATACTGATGGAAAGTAAAAAGGGTTATCTTAGATGATTAAAAGAGAATAGTTTCATCGTGGAGGCATTAAAATTCAAGTCACCCTTTGTCCCATTTGATAACAAATTGTAGATCATTTTTGAGATCAGCTGCCAATTTAACCATATCAAATTGATCAGGCTCACTATTAAGACAGGAGTAAGACAGGTGTGTCATCAGCATAGATACTGAGCTGAGAACTGTTGACATCAGGAAGGTCATTTGGGAAAATGAGGAACAACATAGCAAATGTACCAGACCATATCTGACAGCAATATTCAAAGCAAGGATGAATGGTGGACTTATGAATATTAAGACAGGGGAGGCACTGTGCCTTGAAAGACTATCTGGCCTTAACCTCACACCTGACCTATAT